CAATCTGGTTTAAATTATCTGGCCTAAAATTGCACTACTTCAACTACCAATTCCTCTACTCTATTGAAGCTGCACTAGGGAGACCTATGAAATTAGATACACCCACTTTCAATATAACCAAGCCTTTGGTTGCAAGAATTCTTGTTGAAAGGGATATTACCCTCCCTGATATGGACAAAATATGGCTTGTTACTGCCCACAATGGGTATTGGCAACCAATTATAGCATAACAAAGACCCTACTACTGCAATCACTGTAAACTGTTTGGGCACACCCCTATCAAATTTTTCAGGCTTCACCCACATTTGAGATCGACAGGTCCTAAGAACATCATCCATGTGAAGGAAAATATAATAGACACTGTTAATCTTCCAGAAATGTTGAATGAGAATTTAACTCATAAGGCTACTCCTCACGAACCAGACCACCAACCAGACCAACAACTTCCGCTTACTGTTGTTGAGGCAACTCTTCCTCAGATTACAAATTCTACGAATTTTGTCGTGGCAGATGCTAGTGTCTTTGAACCACCTATTGCAAAAGAAGAGGGAACTCAAGTTATGGAGGAGTGTCAGGATCAAGGCGTGTTGCAGGCTGAGTCAGATGAACAGTTAACCTCCATCGCAACAGTTTACCTCCATCGAAGATCCACCTATTGTTCACACGAGATTACCTCTGGCAGATGATTGGCAGGTTTACAAATCTCGGAAGAAGAAGAAATGATTGTCAAATCTCAGCAAATCTCAGGATGACTGTATCATTCTGTCGGGCGGAAGCCCACATCTCAGTATGGTGGCTGGACTCCCACCCTAGATTCAGGGGAAGGGGAAGCGGTATATCCACCGACTACACCCACAATGATTAGGAGTTGTTTCTTTTTGTTTATTTTTGGGGAATACATTGTAATCTCTGTGAGTTGAGTTTTTTGTACCCACTCACTAAAAATTTTGTATCCTTTCTTTTTATCAATGAATTTTACCTTTTCAAAAAAAATAATAAAGATTAAAATAAAGATTCCATAAAAACTCATGATACGCTTTTTATCAATGAATTTTACCTTTTCAAAAAAAAAATAAAGATTTAAATAAAGATTCCATAAAAACTCATGATACGCCTTTTCTAAAATCAACCTTGTAAGATTCTATAATTATAAAGATTTGAATAAATCATGCAAAAATTTAGCCTAACAAGCCCCACCATTTTTAAGCCAAAATGGTATTACATTACAACAAAATACACCCTCACTGGTAATAAAGTTTGCCTTCTCTACATCAGTTGTGAACATATTTATTAGGTGATAGCCTGAGAAAGCATCTTAAAAACTCATCACGGGGTGGCCGACCACCGAGTCCACCAACACATTGATCATCGGTAGTGGATAGTTGTCTATTAGGCAAGCAGTGTTCAAGTTTGTGAAGTTCATGCACATCCTCCAATTGCCATTTGCCTTCTGCACCATGACCACGTTGGAGACCCATTGTGTATTGTACCTCCCAGATGTAGCTTGCTTCTTGCAGCTGTTGGACCTCTTCCTGAATTATTCCAGCCATATTCAATGTCGAAGTCCTAATTTTCTTCTTCATTGGTTGGACGGTTGCATTCACATTCAGCCAGTGGCAAGAAGCGTCAAGCGGGGTTCCTAGCATCTCTGTCGTTGATCAATAAAAGGCATCTCAATGTTTCCAAAGGACTTTAATCAGTAAATCTTTAGATCCTACATCAAAATTTTAACTTAATAACAAATCTTTACTCGGATCTCCTTTGACTGCAGGGATTTTAAGAGTCGTCTCACTGGTCTCGAGACCACCATTGTGTTGGTGTTGTAGGTCGAGCAGCTCCTGCTCCATGCTCTCAACTGCCCGGAGATAGCATATCTGGGACAACTCCAAGTTCCCCCAAATGGTAATGATATATCCATCACCGAAAACTTCACTACCACTTAGCTTGCCGAGGCCACAGCTTTATAGTCATTCAGCGAGGGGCAATCGAAGATTGGGTTGTAGTTTGGTAGTGTATCTACCACCAAAAAGTTTTCCATGTACGAGAATTGATTTCCAACTTCTCCCCAAGAATCTGATAGTTAAATTACTCCCAACGCTTCTTTCTTCTCACCAGAGGAGCTTTAAAGTGAGCTAATCGGTTGGGAGTTTCATTTTATCAAATACTAACTTAAACAAAATGTTAACAGAGCTGTCAATATTTATTAGAATGCTATCTGTAGAGGTTCCCTCTAGGGGCAAGTTTGCATTAGTGAATGTGATTGGTGAATGGGTGCCATGCTTTAAAGTAAAGGCAATTATGTACAATTCTCCCAACAGAAGCCTCATATGACTGGCTCACTAGGACGAGTCTCCTCCTCCTCCAAAAATAGCTAGTCTAAATCAACGAAGTGGATGGCGTTCATTCAAACTGGTTCATCCAGGATTTCATCTATCGGAGACTTTCCTTCCCTTTGGGTCGTAGCTCTTGGCTCTACAAACTCCTTGAGCTTTTCAACTCTTATTAACTCCTCGATTAGGATTCAGGGGTTTCTGAATTTGTTTGAATCATGGTCATGGTCCCTATGGTAGGTGCAATACTTCTTCATGTCCCAGAGAAAAGCTTCGGCTCTCATTAGTGGTGTCTTCTTGAAGTCTTCCTTATTTTGGATTGCATCCACCAACTTCGACATGACGACTCTGAAGTGGTCTTTGACACTTCATAGCCATTTGACAGTCGCTCATGGAAATGAGCAGGCCATTGGTCAGGGTACCATGCCTGACCTCCTTAGTTGTGCTTTTTATCAGCCCCCTATTGTCTCGGGGCATCTAATTGTCTTCATATCATGGCCGAGCGAAAGAATGCAATTCTTCCCTTAGTCTCCATCTATGTTATCTTAGGGTCTTCTTCAAACGACTGGTGGCTGATTATGCCCTAACAAACAAAAGGGTGGAGTTGTACTCTTCAGCTAAAATGCAATTGTTGGCCACTTCCAACAATTTGGTTAGGATCAAACGACTGGTGGCTGATTATGCCCTAACAAACACAAGGGTGGAGTTGTACTCTTCAGCTAAAATGCAATAGTTGGCCACTTCCAACAATTTGGTTAGGATCTTCTATTACTGAAGACCTAGAGTGTTGTAGAAGGGTCCCTTGTTCAGCCCTTAAACTAAGGCGGTGTGTGCTACTGCAGGTTTCAGATCCTGCACTTCCAACATCTCCTTCTGAAAATATATGAAAAAAATGTGCGTAGGCTCTCCTTTTTCCTCTGCTTGATCTGCAACAAAGCTTAGAAAAAGAGGTGACATTAGAAGCTCTTCGATGGTGAACTATGCCGCGAACATCTTCTTGAAGTCAGTGAAGGAGGTGACTACTCCAGTTGATAGTTTGTTGATTAACTTGAGGGTTGACTCCTCAATGTAGTGTAAAAGAGGTGACATTTCAAAACTTCAGTGATCCTTAGCAAGCAGACGATCGACTCAAATGAAGCAGTATGGTCAGTCAGATTAATCTGACCTTTGTAGGATTCCATCGACGATATCTTGAACTTCTCAGGGGATAATTCTGAATCACTGTCTATCTAGTGACATTGACCTGCTCTGGTACTGGGAGTCTCATACTCTTTCAAGGATTGACTCATCCTTCGGTTGTTGTGCGCTGACACTTCCTCTCTGGGTTTACACTCCCTTCTCCCTGATACCACTTCTTGAATGGCCTCCAACATATGACCTATCATCCAATCCTTCAACTCTTGGATCAGTTGCTTCACAAACTCCCTAGTGCACTCCATGTTAGCAGTTTTTCTTCGGTGGGTTTCTTCTCCTTGTTGTGTTCCTTTTGTTGTAGCAAGCATGATCCACACTCACTGCACTTTTTAAGATGTTGAATATGAGTTTATCCTGTGGATCACACCCAAGGAATAGCTAGTAAAACATGTGAGAGAGAGTGTGTGTGTGTGCACAATAATGAATGGATTCTTTGATGATCGATTAGCCTATACAGTAGAAATGAGCCCAATACTTATAGCAAATGGGGGTATAATGTGGATAATTACCCGTTAACCTCTGCTTTAAAGGGGGTTACAAGTTATTGTAGGTATTTACATAAATAAGCCTATGGCTCAGCTACCTTATCGTTCGGTCGGCCGAAATTGGTGATCCTTGGGTTGACAGGATTCTTTCAACTGATTATGCTTAGTTGGCATTGTCGATCAACTATGGTTGATCTTTGATCATCCAGACTTCGCTCGATCGACCGAGTCAATCAATCAACTGCTTGGGTTCGATCGTCAACTATTAACATCTTGATGAGGAGCTTCTGTCGTTGGAATGTGACTAAACTGTGGGGCAGAGAGTGAATTGTCATAATCTAACAGGTAGCTCGCCCCTTGACAAGAGATCATTTTTTGGGTTTTCACAGTGTATCACGATGGAACCTTCAGCCTTCTGAAGAACCTTGGAGGTTCTTGTGAGGCGACTGGTGACGTTGGGATGAGAGTCGATCTTATGTTTTCTTTCAGCTTAATAGATCTTGGTCTCTAACTCGAATGGCCTTCGTTCGGCTAACTTCGAGTCCTTACTCAAAGGGGTTATATAATCAAGTCATTAGTCTTCCGGTGATGTGACCTTTAATTTTTCTTTTGTGCGTCATCCTTCACTGCACTATTGTCACTTGGTCGTTAAATTTCCTCGAGAATCTTTTTGACGCATTTCTAATATATATATATATATATATATATATAT